TTGCTGGCAGGTTTTTTTTTTAGAATACTGTTGTTTCTGCACAGAGCAGAAAACATTAGCCTTCACAAACAGCGTAATGTTGCCTTTACCAGCAAACCTTTCTTCGCCGCTTTTACCATTTTTCACATGCATACAGAAAGGAGCACCCTGAAACTGCAAATTATTATATTTTACTGAGAAAATCAGAAGTCTGATCAAGCGCAGGCAATATTGAGGGAATCAAAAGTGAAGATGAAGTTGCAGACCGCCAACAAAGAACCTGACTCGCGGACCAACCTAAAGCTTTTTGATATTTAATTGAAACATTATACAGAGGAAGAGGGAGCCTAGCGCTTCTCGAAAGGCTTGATAGAGCTCACTCCACAAGTAAGTCGATCACGAAACAATATTTGGCCCCCTAATTTGATATTAAGTCATTAAGTGCAAAAACAAATTAGATGTTTTCAGCTTCTTAAATATTTTCTGCTTTTCTCTTTAACATCCCATCAAACTGGACTGTTGTTGTTTTCGACTGTTTGGTCGGACAACTGAAAAACATTTTGTGGCATTTTATAGACTAGTGATTAATTGAGAAAAATATACATCTAGCATTAATGAAGCTTCTGGCTGCTCAACAGTCCACTAATGGTGAGTTGGTGGTTGACTTTATAGGTACACATAGCACACGTGAAAGACATACGCAATACATACACCACCGATCGCACACGTACACGGACACATGAATGAGGGATTGCAGTCTGCTGGAAAGCTCTAATGCTGAATAGACTTCTAATGTGAAGTAATTAAACTGGCTCTGCTCCAGGGCTGCTGCTTAGAGTGCACTTTAAGATCCAATCTGCCACAAATGGAAAAGAGGACGGAAATGTGAGCTTCTCACCTTTGTTTAACTTGCGTTTTAAGTGCATGTGTTCGTGTGTTTGCGCATTCTGCTTGTGCCTGTTTTCCATTTCGGTCTGTGAGACATGTTCATTCATCGGTCAGTCCATTAAACAGGATATTTTGATATGAGGTTATCAAGGTGATAGCTCAGAACACCACTGATGTCTGGTGAGGGAGGTGAAGCGTCTTCCACACTGGTGTTCCGCTGCAGAAACTGATTAGCTAATGGAGGCAGGATGATGGAGAATAAACCCCACCCTCTCTCCTCCCTCCCTCCCCTCCCCTCCCCATATTGTGTCGCGTAGAGCTGCATTGATTTAGTAGATTAATCAAGTAGTCAATTCATGAAGAAAAGTAATTGGCTAATTGGCTATTTTGATTATTAAGTCTTTTTTTTTTTTAGGCAAAAGTGCAAACAAATCGCTGTTTCCAGGCTCTTAATAATTATTTTATTGCTTTTATTTGTTTATTTATACTTTCTGCTTTCCTGAATAAATTTCTTTGCTTGTATGCATATATTCTAGTGGATGTCTATATTCACGACATCTATTGTTTAATGGAGCGTTTGGTGACATATATTTCGCAGGGTGTCTCGGTGAATCCGTGCATTGAGTTAACATTTATGGTAGAAATACATCCTAGAACGTTTACAAATTCCTGCTCTTGGAGTAGAATGACAATTTAGTTTTGTTTTAACAAAATCGCTTAATCTGTTCTGTTTTTGAACTGCTCAGAGTCTAGGCAGCAGAATTGGACTGTCAGAACAGCAGTTTGTGGCTTTTAAATACTCCTCCTCTTCCACCTAGTCACTTTTTGTGGACAGATTGCTGTAGACACAACCAATCTGTTTTTCTTTGTGTGATTGATCGTACTGTCTTCCGTTGTACTCACTCCCTTGAGAATTTGCTTGTGTCTTTCTTTCAACTGGGTATTTTCCAATAACCTTGTTCGCAGATTTTCTTCATGATGTAGCTTTTGCCAGGAATTGACTAACCAGACACTGATGAATACGACCAGAGACCGGTCTTGCCTTTAACTTTAAAATCAGTCGCACCTTGATTCAAACAAAAGTGACCTATATTCAAAAAGATCGGCTGCTCCAGTGGTGATTGACGTGATTATATCAAAGGAAGCTGGTGCATACAGTTTTTCTTTTCAATTTGTATGTTGTTTCGTATCCACAACAAGAACTCATTTATGCAGCTGCAAGCAGCAATTTGCAGGTTCTACACCCTTTTGAGTCCAACAGAGCAAGAAAAGCTGAATGCGGACAAAAAAATAAAACCACGAGAGTCAGACAAGAGAACGCAATGTAAGACTCGACATAAAACCAGCAAGAAATCACTTGATTACAGTGTATGTAAGTTGTTTGTATCAAAACCTGTCCACCATTTGTCCCCCTTCACTGATGTGAATGAAACTGGGTGTGTATGTTGGGGAGGTAGCGTAGGATGTCTCCAGTGACTTTAGTCAGCAAGGAGTCCTTGAATTATGAGCAAATGTGTGATACGCCACGCCGGGAATCTGGCAAGAAAAATAATGATAATAGAGCAAATGCAGCAGAAGTATAATGTAACAGAACCCTTAGAAAAACAACAGAAAAAATGAGTAATACTCTCTGGTGGACTTCAGTTTTTGTAAAATTGTACATCTACTCTCTTCTGTAGCATTGACAAGACCCAAAGCTCTGTCCCTGGCTGCTGCAACACAGCGACATCCAGCCACAGAGAAAGCTGGGACCTCCACCATCGCTGGACCACTTCTACTGGAGGAGTTCTTCAGACAGGTGAGTGGGTGCACCTGGCAGGTCACAGAGAAGTGCGTGGTGAGTGGTCGCGTGTATGCTTCAGTGGTTTGAGGATGTGAGGATGCAGAGTCAATATGAGCAGGTTGTTTCATCTGGCCACATACACGGAACCGTAAACGTACACTTAGAGTGACGGTTAATCAGTTACACATATTTATAATTAACAAGCGACCCTGCAGTAAATCTAATATTTCGTCCAACCCCATTATATCTATGGAGGAATAAATATTAGAAACCTTTATAATATAATGCAATATATATATATACTTTTTGAAAGTCTCACACTATGGATCCACTGTCAGACAAAATCGAGATAAGTTTTGTCACTCCTATTATCTCTTATTTTTACTTGGGAGATGATCATTGTGCTAAGTTTTGGGACTACAGTTCCCATATTGGGTTGCTGTTAATGTACTTCATGGACCCTTATAAACACCTATCACTGGATTTCTTCTGAAGAAAAACTATCAATCGTGACGATTCTCAGGACAAATTCTGGAGTTATAAGAAGTGTTTTTTTTCTTGTGATCACTCAGCAAGATTTAGTCCCAATGAACATCACAGATAATGATTTTCCTCAGAACAAGTAAGACACATTAAATCTTTAAAATACGTGTGTTGTAGCTGTATGCTCGATTGAGTTACTGTCCAAGAAGGAGTGTGATTATTGCGGCCACTGGGCATCAGTAGTTAATTGCCTCCATGTGTTTGAAAACCTCTGGTATTGATGAAATAACATTTTTTAATACAGGCCTTCAAAAATTTGCCATGAGGTAGAAAGATGAGCTCTGAAAAACACCAGCAGGTGAAAACAAAAAACCAACGACAGCACCAATCATTCAAGTGTCCTGGTTCACTATGCCATTAACGCGAGTATGCCTTAAGCACGCCAGTGGAGTGAAACACCAAATAAAACACAGAACGTCATTAATGTTTGTGACAAAACAATCTCAGGACAAGGTCCATTAAGTAGCTGTGAGATTGTTCAGTTTTATTTATTTATTTATTTCGGAACCCTTTTTCGATTACTGGCTTGAAAAGTTGAGATCGAAAGTTCATTCGCCTCTTTGGGTTAAACCTGTGCTTTTCCTGCTATTTGAAAATATCTGCACTGTTGGACCAGGTGGGGGAGTCGCAGAGTTTTCCTAGGATTTCCTTGGGATTGTCAAAAGATGAAACACTAGATCTGAAGTAGCATTGATTTATTTATTATATTCTCAACATTGCTTTTAGCCGCTTCCTTTGTTGGTGCGGGCGTTACAGATCGGACAGTTTGCAAGATAAATGTCCAGTACAGTCGAAAATTTTTTCTTCCAATTCAGCCCCACGTTAGTCAGGTTTCTTTCACACGGTTGCAGACTCACACCAAAGAATAAATAAGGAAGACATTGTGGAATGATTGTTTTAATATGGCACTTTGGCAACAAACCTGCCCTCTAAAAGCAGTTACAGCACATCTGTAAGATATGCAGCCATGTCCATGAGTATAATTATATAATCTTTTGTCATTTTCAAAATATGATGCCATGACAAGCACCATGGAAAATTAAAATGTAGAACATTATCTCTTGATAAAACAATGCATTTGGCTATAAATAATAGATTGTGTATTAGTAAATGTGAGCGAAGGACAGACGTTCATCTGGTGCCACATTGCTTTCATCTCTTCCATTATTAATCCACATTGTCTTCATTATCAGTGCTATTGTTGTTTGGCTGCTTTCACAAGGCCTTTGTCTCCCAGGATGTGAATTGCTGATAAATAGCTTCTCCTCCCGTCTCCACATTTATCTGTTTATGACAAACCAGAGAGAGAAAATGAAAACACGTTTGTGGCCCAAAAGCACTTGAGGCGGGAGCCAGAAAAATCGAAAGCCTGTTGAATAGAAGTGTGAGCATATGGTGTATGGTGGTGGTGTGCATATGTGTACAGTGTAAGTGTCCGTTTATGAGCGAGTGCATGCACAGTGAGCTTGTGTGTGTACGCCTGGAGAGTCGGGAACATTTTTTCTAGGAACCAAAAGACTGAGAATGATTTTGACTGAGAAAGCTGCTGTATTTCCAGGGGACAAAGAAGCAGAGCTCGGGCTGCCGTTCTCTCCGCTCTGCGACGAAAGTCTACAATGGTGGCCCAGTCCCAGATCGGTGGAGTGGCTACTCCACCATCACATGCACACAAAACCTGCACATGATGGCTGTAGAAGTACACAGGTTCTGTTTCAACATGAGTTTATTGAAGAAAACTAACATTTCCTTTAGAACACCAAAGGGCGTACCATACCCTGTATTTACATACATTTATATTAGTATAGCAAATTAATTATGAAGAAAAGTGGTTGCTGTGCTTTCTATAGTAACAATGGTATTAAAAATATATATAACATTCCCGATAGAGTTGATACTGTATGATGAATAATATTGGATTTCTTCAGTTTCAATGTGACAAGAGGCGATGAGTGTTGTTTTAAGAACTTAAAAATGTCAACCCATCATTTATCAGCTGTGAGTGCACAATGATAGAGTTCACAGTCTAAAGAGAGATTTTGAAAAGTAATAGGAAAAAGAGTAGAAGGACACGCCTCGTGCATGACATGCATTAAAGTCTTCAAATCACTTAAATAAAGAATATGAATATGCATATAATGACATTATGTTCTGAATTTGCCAATATCCTTGTCCCCAGGGTTCATAGACTTCATCGTGGTGCCCACCTTCACTGTGCTGACGGACATGATGGAGCGCATCGTCACGCCGCTCATCGACGAGGCTTCGCATTCAGGTTTCGCTGGCTTTCGCCGCTCAAGGTGAGCTGCGGCACTTCCTCTTTACGCTGACAGATGTTTTAGCAGTGAAAAGTTTGGATTCTCAGTTGCAAGACTGAGCAGATGGAAGTGAGTGACATTATGGAAATCAGAGTAAGTTTTAATCAACCAGTCTGGTTAATCAGGGATGGAAAATGTACTGTTTTCTACCCTTCACCACTCTGAGTAACTACACGCTCGATGACGTGATTAAAGCTCGACAGCTCCTCTGCAATAACAGCATATCTAATGAAAGTATTGAAAACAGCAGATGAGTCTCCCATGAGTAATCCATTTCTGTGCGTGGAAATGTCTCCACCTTTCATCAGGGAGAGCCACACACCTTGAAATTGACATTTTAGATATGCAAGTCAAGTTCGCCTCGCCTTCCCTGATCAAGAATGGGCCTCAGTGCTGGATTGGCATACACAATAGCCTCTAGAGAAACAAAAGGATGTGATTTTGTCTCCACTGGCGTAATTAATTGGCTCAATACTTTTCCTGCAGCCATGTACTAAATAAAATCTGTGCAAAGCTTTGAAAGCACCCACACAAAGTACTCTTCCATTACTAATATTTGAACCATTCACACAGAGATAATTTAAAAACTTTGTGTCTGTCAATTGTTTAAACTTTTATTTTCTCGTAAAGTGAGATGAATAGAAAATAAAGCAGTATTCAGGGAGTCTGGCTCTGCATCATCCGTTGCACCTGCACATCAATACCAGCCTCCCCGTTCTCCTCAACAGCAGTCATTAGCATCACTCAGTGGGCCTCCAGTCGAAGTTAACCGAGTGGAAATCTCAGATACTGTTGCCACTTATGCAGTCTCCTTGTCTACGTACACACCTGGGTGCTTATGGATTTCGTTGGACTGTTTCTTCACGGCATTTATAGCTGCTTTCAGTCATCTGGAAGTGTGTGTGTGTGTCTCTGTCTGCCTCTGTTTATCCACCTCTCTTTCCTTTTTCTCCTTTCAAAGTGCCTCTAAATCTGAAAGCTCATGTTTTATTTTATCCAAGCTGCTGGCGTGACTCTCAGAGTGGAACAGTTTTTCGGTTTTTGAAATATCTCAGAAACTATTGGATGGATTGAAATTAAATTTTGTATAGACATTCATGGCATTCAGACACTGTCCCCTTTGGTGATCTCCTGAATTTCCCTCTTCTAGCGCCACAAGAGGCTGATATTTGAGGTTCTGAGTGAAATGTCTTGAGAACTATTGGCTGGATTGCCAAGACATTTAGTACAGACATTCACATATTCCCCCACATGATGAATTGGAATAATGTTGGAATAAAGTTGGGGCCGACTCACAGGAGACACATGTCAAAACTGGCACGAGAGGCTAAGATATTCTGACTTTTAGTTGGTTCAAGCTCAAAAACCCAATTTCTCATAACGCAATTTGATAGCATCTTTTAAACTCCACACGGCTTGTTTGAAGATTTTTTTTTTTCGGTCAAAAATATTAAAAATATTATATAACCAGCCCAAACAGAGATAACCATTATAATTATTTTAAACTTTGGAAATCTCCCTCCAAATCTTTGGGGGATTTATTGAGTGTAAACAGGAAGTTTTTGTTTTGGCAAATTGGCATCATTAAAAGTATGCTGAATTAGTTATAAGCACTTCCTGTGCAATGCACCCATGGATATAGAGACGGCTATTACTGGATTACTTTGATACAGAAGAAAAACTTAAAAACAGGATTGTTCTCAGGCAGGTTCTGGATCTCTAAGGAACATCTTTTTTCCATCATTTCTAAGCGGATTCATGGACATTTATTTACCATGGACATTGGAGATAACGATATCCTTGGGAAAAAAAAGTCACATTGCCTGTGTGTACAGATTTGACTGAGTTGTGACTCCAAGAAGGAGTGTGATTTTTGATGCAAATTGTGGCAATCAGGCGCTAATGGTTTTAAAGCACCTTAACTGCCTCGGATATCCTCGGAGAGTTAAAGTCACACTGAATCTAATTATGTCTCGGTGTTGAAAACCCCCGAACAACAAAAGACATTATTCCTATTTCCACCGGCTGAGTAGTAGTCACTGTGACAAGTAAACTGAACGTCACATGTTCATCTAGCGCCATCATCAGGTCAAAAATATCATTTGTCTATAACTTTGGTTTGTTGCCAAAAACCTGCAAAACTAATGACATTATCAACATCATCATACCAACTGGTGAACATAGTAAACATTACTTGCTAAACAGCAGCATGTTACTACTGTCTTGAGCGTGTTAGCATGCTGACCATAGCATTTAGCTCAAAGCTTCACTGTGCTACAAGTACAGCCAGCCTCACAGAGCTGCTATAGCATGCCTGAATGTACACTGATTGTTGTAGACCCTCAGTCTTGTTTAAGTCTCACCTCCCTTCTCCTCTGTCATTTTGGTCCATCCAGTCTGAACAGTATTAGCTCAGATGAAGCCAAACGGCACAGTGTGAAGAGCATGGGCTCCGACAGCAGCTCATCAGGCCAAAGCTCCCTGCTGACGGTGGACATGAAGAACTTCAAGGCGTTGTGGAATGAAGAGGTTTATCAGAACAGAGAGCGGTGGAAAGCCCAGGCCGCTAAAGGTACTGTTCACACATACATACAAAGTGTTAACCTGGTAAAATGGTGGTGATTTGGGGACTCTGGAAACATCAAAGCGATGGTAAAACTGATCTTTCTGAGCAGATCACGAGCTCCAGCCGAATGTAGAAAATTGGCTCATAAAGCAGCAATGCTCTTAACATCTGCAATGCTCTTAGCTCACCCGGAGAGGGATTTGGATTGCCCCGTATTAGTGTGAGATTTTGTGGGATACACAGTGAATTTCCACCAGCGGAGAAAATTCACCAGAGATAATAAGTGTGTTGTCATGACATGTTATGTTATTTAATATTTATTTATTTGATCTATGTTTTGATATAGATTCATATCAATTTGATCAAGTTGACTACACGCCCATTGCAAGTGGTTTAAAGGTTGTAACTTCTGGCTTTATTAGTTGTTGATAAATCATTAACTAATGCCTTATGTCTTACTTATAATCCATTAATATGAACAGTGTTTCGGTTGCCAGACTGTGTAAAATCCCTGTGGTTGGTATTTATCCTCTTCCTGTGTGACACTTGTTTTATCTTTTCACATAGCGATCCATTCTTCAATAATACTTGGTGTTTGTGGCTTATTGTAAGAAGCATTTATTAATTAATTATTGACATTTCTAACTGCAGACTTGGTGGCCTACACATGAGAAATAAATGTGCATTTATTAGTTTATTACCAATATTTATTACCAAAAAGAAAGTATAAACACCAGACAAATGGGTCTCGTCACAACCTAGCAACACAGATGTTTTGCCCAAGTCTTGTTAACAGTCTATAACGTGTGCCTCCTTAGAACATGGGACCAGTAAAGTGGCTATAATCAATATTTTGCAGCTATAATCAATATATTAATATTAAAGTTAATATGTAAAATGAACATATGTATGAGAAAATGTAGCCTGTAGTGATGAACCCACAGAGAATCAAAACCCACTGTAGGCCTCCTGCTCAGTAGCAGAGACTAGCTGGTGAATATAGTGGAGCATTTTGCAACTAAAGAGACAGATATTTCCTTCAGGAGTTAAAAGAGCTAAAAGACAGTAAATATTTAACTTTGATTCATTGGTGGGACAGGAACACAAGTCCAAATGATTGCTAATGTTGCTCTGTAACTGCTGTATGTGTAAAAAGGCAGCTTTTTGCTAAGATGTTAGCTATGTCAAGAACAACACTGATAACATGTCAGTGTTGTGTTTACAACGTGTCTCTGCTGCCCCCAAGTTGCTAAGAGCTCAATTAATACAGGTTTAATTTAGCACAAGTAGTTATGAATTAATGCACATGAACACACACACATACACACACACACACACACGCACACGCTAACCTGCCCCTCACACTCCATGTGACCTCAGAGGCGGAGGAGAGAGCTAAAAGGGAAGCAGAGGAGCGAGCTCAGCAGGAAGAGGCTATGGATCCACAGGAGGTCCACACGGAATCAGATCACTCTGAACCAAAGGAGGACAAATTGGAGGGGGAGGCGCCCGAGTCAGCAGAGGTCAGCAGACCACCAGATGGTAACACAGGGGAAACAGAACAGGGAGCACAGCCTGGGAGCGCCACACACAAGAGTCCTCCCCTGCATAACGGTACATCCCTTAAACTGTGTCGTCCCACAGCATGGCTTGTTTTTAACAGACATGACATAAATCTACTTCTATACATGTGCTATACATACATGCAAATAACTAGCTGATCATTGTAACCATGGTGACTGTAGTCCACATTTCTATCATGCTCAAACTTTTTCACATATTTTTCAATATTATCCTCGATATTTTGTGCATCATTTTATTTTCGAAAAATTCATCCTTGATATATTTATATGGGATCTCACTAGAATTTCACTAACTTTCTGTGTGTCACGACCCAGTGGTTGGTTAGAGGGGTTTAAGATTGGAATAAGATAAGGTTAAGATAAGGTTATTAAATACCTAATCACTAACTAAAAAGAGAGAGGATGATTTCAGGGTTTTCCATTCCTGCTCTGATAGAGTGCATGTTTGCTACCATGAACTCTACCTGCATCAGCTGAAAAAATAACACAACTGTTTGGACTGTTCAGGAGAGTTGTCTGAAGGGGCTGAATCTCCAGAGGGTGAAGAAAAGACGAACAAAAGTGTCGATGGTGAGTTTATTTCTGCAGCCCGTGACTGTTGACAAAAAATAAGCTGAAGTATCTGTTTCATGACTGTATGAAATGAAGTGTAAACTAATGTTTCAGTCTATTGTTCCAGAAATACTACTCTGCCTCAGGAGGAATATCCTGTATTTGTACTTCAGTGGAGATTTTTAATTACATTGCATTTTGTTAAGTCGGAGACAGCTTCCTAATCACAAGAAAATAAACAAGCAGAAATCATAATTTCCCCATGTAAGCAGTTTGTTTATGTCTGTTTAATTTTGCCTAAATATTCCTTTTTTATTTCCCAAAGCAGAGGTAGCGATGGAATAAGCCACACTGTTGCATCTTTGCTGCGCTGCCGTCGACCTGAAACCTGCTTTTAACACTCAACTGGAGGACTCACACGGACTCACGTCACAGGGAAGGCCGTTAGTTGGACTGTGTCGCCCTCTACAGGACACCAAGAAACTCACACCTTCACTTCCATTTTTGTCCTTATGATCAACTTGTTTTTTACTTTTACCATGTTAATACTCCCACACTCTTGTATGCAGAGTTTGTGGCTCTACCCATGTGCATTATTCCACCCTCACTGCTTATTGATAAAGACAATACAGAAGATTTAATGACCTTAAGATGACATCGACGATGGTGGGGTTGAGAGGACCCTTTGAGAGACTGACACTGAAAATGTTGCTTTAATTTTTTTTTGATTTTAGTTTGCCAATCTTTTACTTAACGCAACCACAGACATGTAGCCACCGTACAAGTCCCACTTTTTACATCTGCTTTATTTTTTTCTGTCAGCACTCGTTTGTTAGATTTTAGCATCACAAAGTAAAGTCTGGTTTAAAGTTTAATTAGAAACATAAGGTTTGTTACAGTAATCCTTACAAATTAATACAGAAGTGCTTTTTTGTGGGAAATGCAGAATAAATGCACATGAAGAGGAACTTTTACAACTGCTACACCGTATGTATGTGAGCATGTGTACAGTACAATAGGAATTAATTCAGAGGTCTACAACGCCACTATTTTACTAGCAAGCACTCCTTAAACAAACCCACTCTGTGTTGGAAAATTGTGCTTTAGGAGCTCCTGATGGAAGTCTCATAAAAACCTTTTTCTTTTTTTTTTCTTTGTTACCAGGAGTTGTGGCTCATTTTTCCCCCTTAACACATTTACTTTTTCAGTGCTTTCCTCAGACATTGTACAAGTCTGATGCATTTGTGTTCCTTGTTTTTTGTGTGTCTTTATCCTCTCCACTGTATATATTGAAATTTGTACATGTATGAATCTGAGGAGGAGTAGAAATCCTATGATTCCACAATCCAAAAATTGATGTTTTTTGGATATAATGTAAGATATTATGGTGGAAAATGTCCAAAAAATTAGAATGCAACCTTTGCATTTCAGACATATCACACACATACAAATGCATTCAAGTTTTTGTAATACATAAACTCTTTTTGTTTACCTTTTTTTTTGTAACATTTGTTTTAAATTTGTCCTATATCAATCATGCACTAGATGCGTCTTATATCCTCACACTGTACGTCATTTCTTCATCAAAAGACTTCTTCTCGATGCCTTCTTATGTGTATTGAAGCTGTAGCAAAAAAAACAAAAAACAAAACAAAAAAAAAACAACACTGTCGCTCCATTAGAGAGGAATCTTACATATGTACGTTATATTTATTTTGCAGTACAGTTATGTTACAGCAGCTTCACCTTCTCGGTTGTTGGTGTAATGTTTAATCGACGTGTTTACAGCGTGCTTGTGCACCTATTAGCCAGCTGAATCCATCATGCTTTTGTGATGCATCCGAGGCTGTGAGTCCAAACTGTATCTGCTTCCTGGTTGTTTGCCAGGTTTTTCAAGGCTTCTAATGTTGTGTATAGAAGATGCAAATATTGCTTACTGTGCATATGTAATATATTGAACCCCTGCAACGCTGGTTCAGCTTTTCCTATGTACTTAATATGTGTCAGTGGAAGAGAGGAAAACAAGCATTTTGGCAGTATTTACATAATGATAGGTATGTTTTCCCTAAAATTGTGCACTTTTACTTTGTTGAAATTCCCTAATTTTATTTTAAAGTATACAGTACATGTGCAACTTTATATAAAACTATAGGAACTATGACTTCTTTTTTAGCCTCTTTGTTTTAATACACACTCCCCATTTTTATATTATAACAGGACACTAGTATCGTGCTGGGACATAGCAGTTTGTCATGCAATGCTACTTTCTACCTAAAAAATACAGTCAGTGGTTAGCAAGCCAGCTGGCTGAATGTGTGCCTATATATATGTACTTTCCATGTCACACCTTTCACCTGTAGGAAAAAAACCTATTTTGTGATGTCATTTGAATCTGTGCTGATCCAGGTACAGTCAAACAAACCAGTTCATATCTTCCTTCAATATTACATACTAAAGGAGTCTTGTGTAAAGACTTTTATTTTAGACACTGTTGGAAAATCTGTTTGTACAGTCAGCAGTTTGATGTTGCAGAAGTATAGTATTTATAATGGTATATTTTATGGTCTATTTTGCTCTTTTTCATTTAGAAAAAAAATCTATTTTTTAGCTGTTTATGTGCTGTATAGTGTATGTTTTTTTGTTTTACTGTACTGTTTGCTCCTTTTTTGAGGATGGATTGTCATCTTCAACATGTAACTGTTTTTTTTTTTTAAATTTTGTCTCTCCTGTGTATCTGTCTGATATGTTTTACTCCACCAGCTCTGAAGTCAGAAAATTTCAAGTGGCTCAAAACTCTTCACTGTAAAATTTAAAGTGTAACAATCACAGCAAATTACATTTATGAGTAGAACAAAAACAAAACTTATTGCATCCTCAAAATAGCCTGCCTGACACTTGGTAAAGCAGAATATATTTTCTGTACCAAGGAATCAACACATGTACAGTCTTGTAGTTTGCTCTCTCTTTCACTTGCTACTGTGATAGCCTACTGTATGAATATTTAACAGGAATTTATACCGACCATAATCAGAAACATAGCTGTATTTATGACATGTAAAGACTTCTAAACGTGGTGTTTTGTAACAGTTACTATGGAACAGATTATTTGTTGTTTGTTTAATGCTTTGTTTCCTTGTTTAGTCTGATAATCACTCTGTAATGACTGATCTCAAACTGCTCTAGTCACTGAGGTTAGATGGATGTAAAGTGAGAGTGTGTGTGTGTGTGTGTGTGTGTGTGTGTGTGTGTGTGTGTGTGTGTGAGATAGAGAGAGAGAGGGTGTGTGTGTGTGTGAAACTGCTGATAAATACTCAGTGTGCATTTCTGATCTCCTCACTGTGACCTGCTCTGTTGATGAGCGTGTGTGTGTGTGTGTGTGTGTGTGTGTGTGTGTGTGTGTGTGTGTGTGTGTGTGTGTGTGTGTGTGTGTGTGTGTGTGTGTGTGTGTGTGTATGAGAGAGAGAGAGGTAAACGAGAGAGGTAAACAAAAAGAGATGGACTGTATAAAGCTGGGTAGACAGTTCTCACCACCAACAAAATTTTACAATTGCATTTCAAATAAGCAGTTGTTTTTTCCACTTTAAACGTCCAGTTCTCACATTTTATCAAATTACAAATTGTTCCACAGGGTGGATTAAACAATTCCACAACGAGGTGGATAAATTAGTTAACAGAAGTTAACCACCTTAGGTTTACCCTCTACTACATCCTTGGTTAGACAGAATGACTAAGAGTGAATGGGTGTGTGCGTATGCATGTATGTGCATGCATGTGTGTGTCACTGTCCCATGCCGGCCAGGCGGCCGTGTGTGCCACCATGCTCTGTGACTGCACAGTCGTATCAATAAATCTGGACTCAAAGGGCTCAGATCATGTCTGCCTGTCCTCATTTCTACAACACCACAGCTCAATGTGTCATGTTACAGGGGCACTCCACCAATTTTACACATCAATATCCATTTATTCTTTGCAAGGAGAACTACTCAGCGTGTGACAGCAGTTGAATAATGTCTTCTGTGTCTTTGGAGGAGCTTTATCAATAATTTTTTGATTTATCTGATCTTGACCTTGGAGACTACATATTTGTAATTGAATATCCTACATAGGCTGGGAGGGTCTGACAAAAACATGTAAGATAGCTGCAAACATTATTTGCATTATTGATCGATGTGTTCATCATAATTCTTTTGATTAATTTGTTAATTTTCTAATCAATAAAATGTCAGAAAATAGAAAGGAACATCACAGTTTCCAAAGGTGATATCAGCCTAATTTCTTACTTTGTCCTACTACCAACAGCCTAATCAAGTTACATACTGGATGACGTCTGCCACACAAAAAATTCTGTTGCTCTCATTCGTCAGCTCAGATTGAAGATGAGCGCAGAGGCATCTTCTTCCTGCAGCAGATGAATGTGAAAACAAGCTTCACTCTTCAATCTATAATGATAGGAAACAGACAAAAAGAGCAAATCTTCATGTTTGATAAAAGTGAACCATAGAATATTTTGCTTGATGAATGCTTTTCCTTTCTTTAAATGTATGCACCTTGCAACATCATGCAACAGCATTACCATCCTCAAGCACAACCCATTGTGATTGTACACCACAGACCACTGATGCACTCACTCCTTGCTGTTTTGCTATTTTATATGTGCTTTAGTTCATTTTGCAATTTAAAGCTAACAACTATTTTCTATGTAAAGATATAGTGGAGTAATGGCATCCTGAGCAGAGAACAAAGTCACACCCCCTCTGTGTTATAATCTGAGTTTCTCTGGTCTTTATTTTGGTATCCGCTCTGGCAGCGCATGCATGTTAGTAAATGTGAGTTCCTCCTGTTAAACACCTGGGCCCAATCCTAATGTCCACCCTCACAGACTCGCACACAATTGGAGGCGTGTTCCCGGTAAGTTTGTCCTGGTAATACTGGTCTGGCCTAACAAAATGGAGAGACCTGTGAGCTCCAGTTTGACCCAGAATTGACTTGTTCTTCTCCTCGATGTGTAAGCAACTTACTGGCTACAAAATGTTTTCATTAGTGACCGGTTACAGAAGGCGTGCTAATGTTAGCTAACTTGCTGTTGCTGATATTATGACTGTGTTTGGCAAATGTTGCTAATGCTAGCTGGCTTTGCTTTGAAGCATATCACGACAATGCTAGCGTGGGCTAATGGTTGTGGATAGATTGTTTTGTTGGCTCTCGTGTTCACGGGACAGCTATTCAGTTGGGCTTCTTGTGTGTTTTGTGGCCGCTTTCACTGGGCTTCATTACACCTTACAGACTGAGAAAGTGAATGGAGAGGTGGGCTTATGGCCGGATGTTTGGCTGAAGAAGCATTTGTTTCAGTCTGAGATGCTGATGGTTTTATGACATCTAGTGGCAGTGACTATTGTCTACAGATCTTTTAAAGATATTAACATGACGTTAAAATCAAATAAAAGGTCATCAAACTATTGTTTGACACCTGAGCAGGAGCACCTGGGCAGCGTATAAGGCCCCCAACCTTCCTACTGAAAGATTGAAAGATACACAAAGTAATTACAAACACAGTTTTTTTTGCTTTGCATCTCCTTGAAGTACTTTTTGTAGTTGTTTTGGGTCTCTTTGTTATAGTTTCACATCTCTTTGTGTTCATTTTGTGTCTCTTTGTCG